AAGTATATGTTCCACATAGAGTAGTATATAATCTCGCTATTTGAATTATTTTTAACTTTGAATAATACTACATTTTTTGTTATAATGTTATTACTGGAGAAGTTAAAGTCAGTGTACTCAAACCTTGAAGGCCTGCCTCCAGATCGAATTGTTCCAACAGTGGGACTAAATATTGGTCGAATAGAAGTCTCAAATACAAAGCTTGTTTTCTGAGATCTAGGAGGCCAGGTACATAGATTCTTATTTTCTTCCTCTATTACAGAATTACAGATTATTGATTTTCTTCTTTTGTCTGTGTTATTCCTAGTACCTACTAGCCTTTCAAATGTTCAATTGAGGGAAAGTATACCGTTCTCTCTTCCTCTATGAATCGAAAATTAGAATCTGAAAGTGGAATGTTATATCATTTGATGTTATTTTCACTGATGTACTTGTTTCTCAATGTAAAGTAAGAACATAAGATGTTCTAGAAATAGTTGAGTTATTGTCTTAAAAGTGCGATTTTACCAATTGCTAAAGTCCTCACAGTATGATTCTTGGGATTTCTTATGGCATCCAAGTATGTTAACATTTTGCCTGCCAATGGGAGGAAGCTGTTAAATGTGGGTAAGTATCATGATTCTTCTAGTTCTTGAATATTTTTATGCTTTACAGACTTGGAATTTAGAGAATATAGACGGGCATTATGTTAGTTTGACGGAAACTTTAAGCAGTCTTAATGAGTTATGAAGCCTGTAGTTTTATAAACAGAATGCAGCAGCCATAAGGTAAGGAGAATTTATACCAGATTCTGAATGGTCCGATTTCATTGTAGTTCTGACACGATCTAACAGTTTAAAACTATGACCCGCTGGTAGGGTATTTTTTGATAATACCATAAAATTCTCCGAGCCATAAGACAGTGCCACGAATTTTTCTAACAGTTAAGTGGTTGGATTTTGATTCTTTGAATAGTAACTGATTTTTGAACCCGTCTTGCAGTTGTTGTTCAAGCTATCACTCTGCCGGTGGTTTATACCCGCGAATGTTGTTCTGGATTCCATATCAGGTTCAGTAATAGGTTTCATTGTAGCCAGCCTTGTTCGGCCACCATACCCCTTCTTTAAGTTTACAATTGTGCAAATTGGAATTGGTAAGCTGCTTATCATCATGGTACAAGTTTCACCTTTTGTTTTAAAGTTTTCACCTCTTCAGTTAGATCGTACAAAGCTGAATGATCCATCATTGCTTGAAGTTCTTTCAGTAAATTTCTTTAAGAACTGCACCCTAGTTACTTTGGCTTTGCGCTTCTCATGCGTACGCTTATTTCGGATTATCTTATATTCAACCAGGGAACATCAGAAATGTACCGCTTGTTTTAATTGCAGCTTTATGTAGAGACAAAAACAACCCTTTTGTGACACATGTAGCATAGACGGAACTGCATATATTTCATTTGGATAGTGGGTGAGTGAGTTTATAACATTTCAAACCGAAATAACTAGAACTCATTGACAGTTCTCTCAATTGAGAATTATGTCGTGCTCCAACTATCACTGTTTTTGCAACAACAGCAGGGTACTCTGAGGTCTTCAAGAATTCTCATTGGAGCGACAACAGGAGCTTATTCAAAAGCTACTTCAACAGAAAAATCCGCCATCAAATCATCCTGGACCTTCCGTTCTAAGAAGAGAGGATCCTCTGCCACCGTCACCACCGGCCTCAGTTTGTTAGAGCATTTAATTTTTGTAATATTAAGATTTTACTAGTACAATATTTGCATAAGTGTTTGGGTTTGCGTAAGTATGATTATTTTAGTATTTTGTTTGGATTCTAATATGTATTGAAATATTTAGAGATTTTTAAATTAATATTTGGTATTTTATTTATATTTTTTTTTTAAAAAAATATAGGTATATATATATGTCTCAGTTTTAGTGACTAAAAAGATTGATAGCAACAAATTAGTTATTTGCTACTAAATATTTGGTACCTGATTCTTGTTCTTTTCGCTATCAAATACAATTTGATACCAAATATTTAGTCCCTAAATCTCATGAATTTTGCTACTAAATACCTTTTGTTATAAAATATTTGGTGACTGAATCACATACTTTTTGCTACCAAATATATTTTGCTATTAGTTCTGCCACTGAGGGCGAATTCCACTAAGGTGTTGGGAGGCACACCGTAGCCCGTGCACTCAAGACCCCACCACAATCCCCAATCTATGATTCTTTTCTGTTGTCGGGCACTTTTTTCTAATATCGTGCGAGAAGATATAATAATTTGTAAAATTTTATATTAGAATTTACAAACTCAAATGATAAAAATACAAACTCAAATAATAAACTATGAAATTTTATATTTTATGATGAATCATTTGAGTTTGTAAGTTTTAATGTAAATTATCAAAAAATTTAAATTTCACAAATTATCATAACTTTTACAATGAGTTTATAAGTTTTAATGTAAAATTTCACAAATTATCATATCTCCGGTACGATGCCGGGAATATTTTCCCCAACAATGTAAAAAAATCCCCAGTCCAACAATAACCGCGGCCTTGCCAATCAAAGTTGCAGTTGGTCCGTCACCAGATGCGTGCCTCTTTCGTGCTTGGGGCAACATAGAGGGACCAACTCTACCCTAAGTCAAGGCGGCAGCCCCCACCAAGGCTAGCTGCTGCCTAGACGCTGTAAGGGCACTGGTTTTGGATGTCGAAGGTGGCGGCATGAGTGGAGGTGAGGAAGAGGGTTAAGAAGAGGAGGGAGGAGATTGAGAAGTTAGGAAAGCAAATGATCATCATTGCAAGTAGAGTAGATTACAGCCCCGTTCATTTCATCAATTCGAGTTTTATTACAGTAAAAAACTCTTAAAAATAGTCATATCTAACTTTTTGTTACAGTAAAAATTTCTCACATAAAATCAAATCACAACTTAAATTAAAAATTTAAATCAATGAATTAAACGGCAAATTTATTGAATGCCACGGATATAGTGCCTAGGCTACATCTACATAGGTTTAACTTTTTGTTACAGTAAAAATTTCTCACATAAAATCAAATCACAACTTAAATTAAAAATTTAAATCAATGAATTAAACGGCTCTACTAATTGGAAATTTATTGAATGCCACGGATATAGTGCCTAGGCTACATCTACATAGGTGGGAAATGTTACTTTTGATGTGTGTAACGACAATTCTTTTTGCATGTGATAATGAATATGGAGGCGGCTTTTGGTTAATATATATTGTACATAATCATTAAAGTCTACAGTTTTTTAGTAATGAAGGAGGCAGGCGGCTAATTCGGCACATAGTAATCTTAATGGAGATTCGCGTTTGCAGTGGGAAAAAAAAAAGAGAAATAGTAGAAAATATGCCAATATGAAAAGTTTAAGAAAGTATATAGATCAATTTTTAGTTATAGAAATTAATATGTCATAACTTGTCAAGTTATGGTTCATAATCAGATAAATTATGGATAAACTTGTCAAGTTATGGTTCATAGCCAGACAATTTATGGACAAAAACCGTGAATAACTTGTCAAGTTATAGTTCATAACCAGACAAGTTATGGACGAAAACAATAATTTAGCTTATTTATTAACTTATATAAACTATTAACCTATTCATTTTAATTCATCTCAAATTTTGGTCTATTTCTCTCTTTCATTCACAGTATTGGGTTTCTGTGCTTTTGCTAAGGCAATAATGTGGGTGGGTCCATGTATAGGGTCTTTTTAGGGTAGGTATTCTTTGCAATCTATGTTTTTAAACACTATATTCAATTAAAATCACCTCTAAATAAATAAACATATATAAGTAGAATTATTTTTAAGTTAAGTGAAGACTAGCAAGAAATTGAATTTGAAAGGTTTAAAAGAACAATTTATTAATAATTATATGAATAAGCTTAAACATCAAATTGATTTTTATTGAATGGAGGTATCATGTAATGATCTAAATATGTATGATGAGTGGGAAAGATGAAATTTATGGATTCAAATATTAAGGAAAAAAAACAAATGACTTTAACAAAACGTGTTCTTATAGAATTTTAATTTTTACCTAACAATCAAAGCATGGTTTTAAGGCACGGTTATTAGTGCACAAATTTCAGTTTTCACGCATGTTTATAATCTAGAGATCATGTCTCCCACCTAACCATTGAGCACATTTTTAAAGTTTATTTCGAAGTACAGAAATTCACCCATCAATAGTGATAACCTTATCTTCACATCCTCTAATAAAATATATATATATATATATATAAATTAAAAACCCAAAAGAAAATCTGAAAAGTGTTTGTGAGAGTACATGCGCGTCTCGTATTGTGAAATTTCACCTTCAAACACACATACAACCAAACTGAAAAAAAATAAATAAAATAAAAATGTTGCCGTTCGTATACTTCAATTAATCTATTATTGTGGGAGTTTAACTATATGTCTACAATACAGAATACATTATAATTTTTTGAAAGTCTTTGGAACCAAATGATTATACTGGAGCATTTTATTTTTCCTGAGATCGTAAAATCTCATAAAGCTAGCTCATTAATTTTATAAATTCAGCCATCACATTTTTTAATTATAAAATAAAATACCGAAGTTTAAAATCGTATCAATATAGTCTTCTGAAAAGAAGTTCGTTTAATATGAGATGGTAAATATGACTTTCTCTTGATAGTTTATGTGGTTCTTTTTAACCTCTTCTAGAAATTGTACCGTAGAAAAGAAATTATCAAAAGGGATAGAGATGCAAATAGAATAGTTTTGAACAATTCGGTAAATAACTAACAAATTTTTGAAACCATGGAAATACATAGTATATTATTGATAAATACTTTATTTTCCCGAAATAGATAAATTATTATCGCTTAGTAAATAAATTATTAACAGCAAACATGTTGGTTACGTTAAACAAATCTATTTCACAAATATGTTGTTTATTACAATTATTGCAGTACTCGTGATGTTAAAATAAAGAGAATTGGTGTTAAAATAAAGTGATATTAAGAGCATATAATACCATTTCTCATTAAGATTCATAACGAAACGATACAAACACACAAAGGATCTTCTTCTTCCTTATTTATAATACTATTTGTGTGTACATCAGCATCTAAATCTATTGATATTAGATGCATTAGTACTGCTTGGAAGAAGTAAACTTTCATTTTTGTAATTTATTTTAAAAGCTTCATTTTGAAGTTGCAAGTCCATCTTTTGCGGGTTTGAAATAAAAGCTTAATGCTTCATCAGCCAAAGCTAAACGCTTTGTTCCATAGGTTCTGTTTGAGATCCCAACATCTCGACCAGAGCTAGAAACAAGCTTGTAGGTACGATTATCTATTTCCGAAGCTTTGTCGATCTTGAACCAACTGCTTCTATCTTCCTCCGCTCCACCAAGAGTCACAAACGGTTCAAATCCTTCCAGCACCTTCCACACCGGTGACTCTCCGAATACTGGTGGTAGTTCATTAGAGTACTTGATGTTGAGATAAGTGGACACGTGAATCGATGCATCTTCGTTGAGATTAGTGGGTGAAAATGTTACTGGAAGACCTTTTATCCCATAAGTAAATACTTCAATTTCAAGTTGAAGCCAGGTAGTTCCAGGACGATATATACCTGGGATAATGGCGGCGGTATATAGAAAAGGCAACAGTATCGAAGGCAATAAGTAATAATCTTGACCCTTTTGGAGTTCGTTTCCATTTAAGTCAAGAACTGCAGGAGGTTCCTTATCAAGGATGGAGATACCACGACTGGCGTACACTCCATAATTTGTTGTGAAGAAAAGGAAAAGGAAGGACAAGGTGAATAAAGTGGTAGCTTCCATTTGTGTTATTTTTGGGATTTTTGTGTAGAAATGACTAAAACAAAGCTTGTATTTATAGAGAGTTAAGGCTTTGTAACTACTTTGAGTAGCAACATCCATGCACGTTTCTAATGTGAAGATTTCTGCCACCTACCCATTGTGCGCGCTTTAAGGCCTGGCCTCTAGCATACAAATTCTCACAGATATATGTATCCTCTTAATACAATAATGGAAGGACGGTGTGAATAAAATAGTAGCTTCCATAGTAGCTTACAACTATTATTTTATAATTAATATATTTTCACTAATTTGTTGTTGTAGAGGGAATTTTTCTTGAATATGTCCCTATTTAGATATGTTTTTTCAGTCTGGCACTTTGAACTATTATTTTTCATAGGGTGGTAGTACTATGTACACACTCCTTTTTACTCTCTACACCCCCTTTAAATTAAAATTTCTAATGATAAAAAGACCCTCACATAAAATGACAAAAAACGACAATTATAATTGACTTAATTAAGCAATTAAATTTTATCATAGAAGGAAAACTATTTATATAGTTTTTTTTTTCTTTCAACTCACCCACACAAATTAAAAGCTATTGTATTTTGAAAAATATTTCATCTTTTAATGACTAGTCTAAAAAATTGGATGGAGATAAATTTAATTTGCTTTACTATTTGTTGTATGATTTTTCTTTTGCTTTTTTTTCGGTTTATGTTTATGTTTTTTGACTAATCGTTTTGTTTTTTGATAGCTAATCATTTCATTTTGTTTCTTTTTTTTCTTTTTTACAAAGTTGAATTGTTTTTCTTAAATGTTTCGTTCTTTTTTTTTTATTCTCTTTTGAGTTCATTTCTTCCATTTCGTCATTTTTATCAACACCTCAATTGATATAATAAGTATCTCATATTTATGTTCTTTATTATTGAAAAATTTAATTATTAATTATGCATGAAAAAGATTTTATTCTAAAAATTTCAAAAAATATATATTGAGATGAAGAAATAATAATACTAAAAATATTAAATTAAAATAAAATGATAGGTGTACAAAGAAAAAAATAAAATGAACAAAAATTAATAACATTATGGAAATAGTTAGGGACAGTCTTGGAATAATAGGTGTGTATAAAAATTAAATTTAATCATTTCAAAATTATAAGGGGTGTGTTTATAGAAGGGGGTGTGGAGAGTAAAAAAAAAAAAAAAGGTGTGAATAGAACTACCATTTTTCATATGCAGTGTTGACAAGCACACAAAAATGTATTTTGGACATTTTCATGATTTTTATTCAAAATATTTTAATTAAAAAATGACTAATTTTTTATTATTTATTTGCATAATTAAAAAAGCAATACAAAAGGCCATGAAAAGTAGCCATTCATTCAATTCACCAAAATAGCCACCAAGTTGAGTCAGATTCAAGCATTAGCTAAGCCAATCTGAGCTGACAACCAGCCACCATGTGGTGAACCAGCTTGCAACTTCCAATCCGCATGCGTCATGCGTCATTCCGATGCAGAAGCTCTTTAGTGGCAGTTTCCCATTTTGTCTCCAATTAGAGCCAAATTAGTCCAATTTCTCCCACAATCAAATATTTGATTTTTCCACTTTTACTTGTAATTTTATTTTATTTCTCAATTCCTTGTTTCCCAATTTTAATTTTCCAATTTTGTTAGTTATTTCTAAATTTTTCAGACATCCTTTAAATACTATAAATAGAGGGTGTGCCAAGCATTTTTCTTCGTTCAAGAAATGTAAATTCAAAAACTCATATTCAGTGTTTAATAATTTTTCAGTTGTTATTTTCTTAGCTTTCTTTTGGTGTGAGATAAGTGACACATTTTATGTGAGTGAGATACAACGAATGTAAAGCAGAGTAAAAAGTGAATTTTGCTTGCCCGCGTTCTTCAACTTTTAGTTTAATTCAGTTTGTCCTTCAAATTTATAAT